AGTCTCTAGAGACTCTAGAAAGAGTGCAGAGAAGAGCAACAAAGATGATTAGGGGACTGGAGACTAAAACATATAAAGATATGAAGAACAGTTGCAGGAACTGGGTATGTCTAGTTTAATGAAAAGAAGGACTAGGGGAGACATGATAGCAGTGTTTCAATATCTCAGGGGTTGCCACAAAGAAGAGGGAGTCCCGCTATTCTCCAAAGCACCTGAAGGTAGGACAAGAAGCAAAGGGTGGAAAGTAATCAGAGAGAGAAGCAACTTAGAACTAAGGAGAAATTTCCTGACAGTTAGAACAATTAATCAGTGGAACAACTTGCCTCCAAAAGTTGTGAATGCTCCAAAACTGGAAGTTTTAAAGAAGATTTTGATAACCATTTTTCTGAAGTGATATAGGGTTACCTGCCTAAGCAGGGGGTTAGACTAGAAGACCTCCAAGGTCCCTTCCAACTCTGTTATTCTATTCTATATTGGTGGAAGATTTGATGTTATTTTTCTTAACACTGTGTAAAATGCTTTCAGAAATTACAAGGTTTGGATCACTCTTAAATGATCTTCCACCTGTTACTTCTTGCCCTGCCCTCTGTTGCTTGTTGCAATTGAAAAATTGAGCAGAGAGAAAACTGTACTTTTGTGGATTAAATTTCAACTTTGTGCTGGAATCAAAGTTCGGTTCAGAGCTTCCACTTTTGCCCCAAATATCATCCAAAAACTGAAAGCAGAATATTGGATGTCCAACCAAAGTTCTGGATAATTGTTTCACGGTTCTCTTATCTCATAGTTCTCATTTTCTAAAAGAATCTTGGTTTGAGTAAGAAAAAAATAACAGCTAATGCATTTTTCTTGATTATCTTCTGAAGTACTTGTTTTCATTACACAAAATTTTCAGGTTCCACATTTGCCAAAGCTAAACCTGAAATTCCTTGGACATCACTTACAAGGAAGGGAATTGTGCGGGTTATATTATTCCCATTTTTTAGTCAGTGGTGGATACAAGTCACTTCTTGGCGTATATTTATGTGGCTGTTGGTATTGTACCTCCTGCAAGGTAAGTAGGAGTAGTAGAAATTATGCTATGAAGGGAACGCAGATAAGTAATTTGGCAGGGTGGAAATCGTAATAATCATGCTAGTAATGGTTGCAAAGAAAATTGAATTATCTTCTTAGATGTTTTTTTCTTTTTTCTTGTCTATTTCTCAGTTTCTTCTTTCATTTTCATTTACATTATGTCTTTTTCCTTCTTTTTTTCTAAGTTTTTATACTTTTTAAATTCTATGTAAATTTTCATATGTGTGCATTTACAACCATTCCTGTTTATAAAACATCTGTTTTGAAGGCTTTGGATAACCCCAATATCTATTTCCATTTAAAATAGCTGTAATTTGTATCATGCCAAGTTTTGAGGAAGGGAACTCAACAAATGCAGATTAAGGTGCTATCTAATATTGGATCTCAGAAAGACTCATGGGAGAAAGGAGTAACAGTCAATAGTTGGTCTGATGTTAAATATCTGTCCATGATAAATCAATTCTAAGTCCATATTTTTCACTACATGGTTAGCAAAGGAGAAACTCAGTGCTAAAGTTGCATATACAGTAGTTTCTGTAGGCTATTATATTACATTTTTTCTATTTTTAGAAGTATCACATTTTAGTGCAGTTTTTATAAGTAGCATTTTTACATTGTATGCATTATATATGTGTAGTACAAATTCTATTTTTACTTGTTAGATAATTCATGTACATTTTTTTTTCAGTTGTAGCGATTACATTATATTCCATAATGCCAATAGTGAGTGCAAGTGAAATCATTGGACCATTGTGCCTTATGCTACTCATGGGAACTGTGCACTGCCAGATAGTATCTACTCAGTTATCTAAAACTTCAGGAAGTGATGCGAGTGGTGTTGGTCGAAGAAGGAGGTGAGCGATGAATGTCTGTAGCTTGGGTGGAAAGTTCCTCTTCAAATCAGAATATTTCTTTGCATCCTGCTTAAAGGCCATTTTTCTTACAATATGCATAATATGTATTGTATCTTTGCTTGGACTTCGTTGCTAATACACTTGTTTTACTTAGATTCTAATAAGATACAGCTTTCATATTTTACTTTAATAACATATACTAATTCTCACTATTTACATACCACTTTGATATGCTTGAGTATAAATATATCAAAGTAGATTCCATAAAATGATAATATGCATGAGCATGAAATATAAAAGCATGAAATAATAAAAACGATCAATGTATTGCTTGAGCATTTTAAAAAAATGTAGTCAAAAATCAATGGGATGCTAGATTAATCTTCTACAGAAATAATTCATGAAGGATCTTGTTTAATCTCGGAATATTTTTTTAACCAGGATCTGCTATAGATTCTGCCTATCTCTGTTCCACAGATTGATTAATATGAGTAGGTTGGGAACAGTTAGCAAGCTATACTCAACAAAGATTAAGTAGATGTATTTGATACGGCCTATGGCAGTGATGGCTAACCTTTTTGCCATCGCGCGCCAAAAGTGGGGGGAATGCGAATGTGCCCACACCCATAATTTTATGTGCGTGATCCCCCTCCGGAGGCTTCAGGATGCTTCCCTGAAGCCTCCAGAGGGCAAAAAACGGCTAAAAATGAAGGCCAAAGTCAGCTGGCCAGGATGCGCATGCACGCTGGAGCTGACAGGACAACGCCTTGTGTGCCCTAACAAATGGCTCCGTGTGCCACCTGTGCCCTAGGTTCGCCATCACGGGCCTATGGGCTAATCAATAAACTATGTATGTATGTAAGTAGATGTATAGACGAAGAAGCAGTTCCTTTGATAACTGAGTTCTGAGATGTTTAGAGTGTTATATCAACAACAAACTGATGAAAATAATTCATATTTAATTTTTCCAGAACAGTAACTAACAGTAACTAACATGAGCTCTATGTGGGATATAAACAGATATTTTATTAGTGAAGCAACAAATATATCATTATTATGAGATCTGGATTTCTCCTTCATAGTACTTCATCAGTTATTAATTTCATGCCTAGTATTTTTAGACAGAAAATTAAATGTGATATTAGCCACAGTTAACTATATATAGTTTAAACTCTCCTCATTTCATGCCTGGAGTAATTTTTAACATACTTTGTTGCAAACATTTTTCAGAAAATGTACAAATGGAGTAGTGAAAATGAAATCTAGTATAAAATACTAGAAAATATCAGAATCATCAATTCAGTCTAGAATCAAGTGAAAAGAAACTGTTTGGGATAAGTCTCATTTTCATTAGTACATGCATAGATACGTATTTATTTACTGGTATTTCTTATTTTAGAAACCACCTATTTCCCTAATACAGCAGTTCTGGGCTTATAGATTCTTTCCTTGTATTTGTGTTAATGGGCATATGCACATATTTATTTATTTAATTTATTAAATTTCTATGCCACCTATCTCCCCTACAAGGTTCTTCAGGCGTCATAAACACTTTTACGTGGTATTTTTAGCATCCTAAATCAATAGCAATAGCAATAGCAGTTAGACTTATATACCGCTTCATAGGGCTTTCAGCCCTCTCTAAACGGTTTACAGCATATGATTGAAAAAGTCAGCATATTGCCCCCAACAATCCGGGTCCTCATTTTACCCATCTCGGAAGGATGGAAGACTGAGTCAACCCTGAGCCGGTGAGATTTGAACAGCCGAACTGCAGAACTGCAGTCAGCTGAAGTAGCCTGCAGTGCTGCATTTAACCACTGCGCCACNCATCCTTCTGAGGTTGGTAAAATGAGAACCCAGATTGTTGTGGGCAATAGGATGACTCTGTAAACCACTTAGAGATGGCTATGAAGCACTATGAAGCGGTATATAAGTCTAAGTGCTATTGCTGTTACTGGGGGTGGAGGAGGGATGATTACTTCCTAAAACATGTCTGTTTCAATCAGAGTGAATAATGTTCATCAGCCACATGGAAACCCCCAGTTATATTTTGACAATTCCCAGAGCATCTTTCTCATTTGGGACTAGAAAAGATGAAACGATTTGTGAACATAGGCCCTCATTTTGCTTTCTAATCATTCCAAGTCCATAATAAAAAGACTGAAAATTTAATTATGTCCACTCTGGTGATCACATTATGATACTAGCCATATACACTCAACAGGGATTCCTAAACTTTTTGCCATCCTCCTTCTACCACCTTTAGTGTAATCTTAATATATACATCTCTCCTACAAATCCAAAGGCCTAATGAACACAATGGGAAAGGTGGATTTATTGTAACAATGTAAAAGGTTCCCCTGGACTTACTCCACACCTCTCCAAAGGAAGGGTACTTTACGATTTGGGAAACCTTGCTCTATAGGCTTTAGCAATAGTAATAGCAGTAGCACTTATATACCACTTCATAGTGTTTTTATAGCCCTTTCTAAGCGATTTACAAAGTCGGCATATTGCCCCCAACAATCTGGGTCCTCATTTTAACCACCTTGGAAGGATGGAAGACTGAGTCAACCTTGAGCCGGTGAGATTTGAACTGCTGAACTGCAGCTAACAGTCAGCTGAAGTAGCCTGCAGTATTGCACTCTAACCACTGCGCCACCTCGGCACCTTTAGTGGCAAGAAAGAAAGAAACGAAAGTGTAGGTCTTGCTTATAAAGAGATTTTGCATCCCTTTCCATATTTCTACTAAAAATACACAGAATTATTTGTGCAACATATTTTAAAAAGTCTAAGCTATGCATTTCTTACCTAATAGAAGAGGTAAGAAATGAATTTGGGAATGTTGTAACTTGGTTTTGAATACTTATTATTGATATCCCTAGTTTCTATAATGAACTCTCTTTATGTTTATACAGTTGAGTTGGCAGTTGAGAAACCAAATGGCTTCCAATGATGAAGACGCCATCGCTTGGTACCAAAAGAAGGTCAGGTTTAGGCTTATTTTTTAATATATTTGTTCTGTCATTAAGATTACATTATAGCTTTAAACGGGGGGGGGGGGTATTTTTTTTTTTTAGAATTTGCACATTGTTTAAACCATTGTTAAAAACTGCCAACTAGGCTACTTTCAAATGTTTGGGCTTCAGTTCTTTAACACAGGATTATTGGAGCTATTGTCAAAATATTTGGAGTGATTCTTTTGGTTTGGTTTGGTTTCAGACATAATTTAGGATTTTTTTATTTTAGCTGCACCTACTATCAGATTTGTATGTGTATTTTCTGTGTTTCATTTTTATATTCAGTAAAGCAATTGTACAAAATCTGCATTTGTTGCTTTCTTCATTTGTAATAACATATTGATAAAACCTCTCCAAAATATTGCTTTCTATATCTGTAGCATTAAATAGAAGAATTCTAGGAGATAACTCAGTAAATTTATTTTTATTTATCAAATTTATATGCCAATATTTGTAAATACTAAAATATAAATATTTAAATGTTATTATTTTACTAATACATTGGTGTTGAAGGTAAAAGTAATATATGAGAAATAGCTGCTTTTTTTCAGATTGGAGCTTATGATCAACAAATATGGGAAAAGTCCATAGAGCAGACTGAGATGAAGGTAAAAAAAAATTGCTAATAATTTTGTTGAATTTCTTAATTCTTTATTTTATGGCTCTATGGAATGACATGGATGGAATATGTTATATGTAACAAATAGAATGGCATGTGAAATATAAGGGATTCAGTGAATATAGTGTTTTGTATGTGGAAAGTTGTAAAGTATTCATTGACTTTCTACCATGTAATTGTTGAAGACGGTCCCACCAGTGGTGGGTTGCAGGCAGTGCGGCCTAGTACAGTCATACTGGAGCCTGCCCAGAGCACCGGATACCGTTCCGGTACAGTGCTCCGGTGGGCTCACCCGCTGGTCTGAGCTCCTTACCAGTCTTTTAAGTCTTCAGTGCTTACGCGCACAGCGTGTACAGCGCCCATGCGATGCTCTGCTCAGCAGCTGGAGCATCGCGGAGGCTCATGGAGGTGCTAAGATGCATGCGTGTGCTGCACGCGTCCATGTGGATGCTGCCAGGCCCGTTCCAACCCACCACTGAGTCCCACAATACTTCCTCATCATCATAAGTGGGAGTACTGTGCTTGATGGGTATTTGGATGCATGTGAATTAAGGTCTGAGCTGAAAGAGAAGTATTATGAGAAATCAGAAAAACATTGTATAGTACTGCAGTGAAGTACTGTACTGTAGATGTACCGTATTTTTCGAAGTATAAGATACACCAGAGTATAAGACACATCAAAGTTTTGAACAGGCAAATTAAAAAAAAAGTAGGTAGTAGATAGAGGGATAGAGAGGGAGAGAAAGAGAGAGAAATATGGTAGGGAGGGAGGGAGGGAGGGAGACAGTACTTAGGTAGGTAGGTAGGTAGATAAAGGGATAGAGAGAGAGAAATATAGTAGGTAGGTAGGGTGAGGGAGAGAGAATGTAGGTAGGTAGGTAGAGGGATAGAGAGAGAGAAATAGAGAGAGAGAAATACAGTAGGTAGGTAGGTAGAAGGATAGAGAGACAGAAATAGAAAGAGAGAGAGAAAACCCTACCCCTGTTGACACTGGCAGAGCAAGCTATGGTGTATAAGCAAGGAAGAAACTCCATACTCACTAGACTGATGTTGTTACCTAGTTGGGTAATGAAACATCTGCAAGCAAACAAGTTCAGAGAGCACCAAGACTCCATTGTTCAACCTGCGCTACATATATTCTCTTCTACTAGAGAAGTATTATTATTTTCCTGATTATGATAGATAACTTCTCAGAGAAATATCAAGCACTTTATTTATACAGTGTACTGTTTTTTTCAGATTCTGAATGGCAAAGGCATGCGGGAGTACATTTATAAAATAAAATGCAGTGGCAGTATTGTAGCCAGTGAGCTTTATCTGATGTGCAATGATTACTTTGCTTATATATCTTTATATGAAAAAAATCTTTATATGAGATATTCTCTGATAGAACATTGCCCTGTGTGATGAATCTTTATGTGGTATTGGACGACAATTTCTAGAATTCTCAAGCCAAATACCCTAAGAGCTCAATGGCTCAGTGGTT